GTGGTCCAACCAATATTCCAGCCAAACATTGGTTCAGATTGTTCAATGAAAAAAATGCTTCCTCAAATTAGGTAATCTCGGGTATATTTGGAACCAATTACTCACTTAGTTGTGTTTAATCATATCTATTAGGCGGTGTTTAAAAAAAATGATCTCGACTAGAGAAATGGCAGGGCTATTTGCCATGACACTCAGTAACGTCTCTAGTATTTTATTAAAGAATCGTCAAGTTTGTCTTGACCGTGAAAGAGCCAAAATACTGCATTGCTCTCCGTAAAGCATGGGGTCAGTTTGTATTCTTCAGTACTGTATTCTTAAGACCAGACACGGAATGAATATACTTCATATATTTATAAAAAAAAAAACTGGCTTTTGGCGATTAGCTATTGAAAAACATGGAGAATTAGAATACAAAAATCTTTATATTTAATAATTTTAATCATATGGAATAGCGAGCGAATTATAAAATCCAATTCAATGTTATGATTTTTGCAAACGACTACTTTATTTGTACAATTTTTCTGATATTAGATGAGAGTAATTTTATTCGGAAAGAGTAAAAGGCGATAACTCATGAGAGTTGTTTTCAAAAAAAAATGGGACAGAATACAAAATTTATAATAATTTTCATCCCACTCGTATCATTTAATAGACATTGACAATACATCAAAAATATTCAATGGATCTATATGAGTGAAATTGTAGTTAATTCGAATAAGTGATGTGAAATGTTACAAAAAATCATGTTTCACTTCTAACTAAAATTTGAATGTATATGAAAATTGCATTGTTTTGCAAATATTGATTCGTTAAATATTTCTTTTTAACTTTTGTAAGCTGAATTTTAATTAATTGACTATGTTATAGAATTGATTATTTCTGATCAAAATACTGTCTTTTCTCTCTTATAATGTATGAACATGAATAAAAATTAAAATTATTAAACCCCATGGAAGTTTTATTGCACTGCATGAACAATACATTTTAGAGTAATTTTATTACAAACAATTTTTCAAAATAGGTAGGTTTAATGAAGCGCATTGAAGAGCAATGATCAGTGTATTTCCCTCAAAACATAATATCAAGAAACAACTTGAACTATCGTTCTCGTGAAGCACAAGTCATTAGTTGCGTCACGAATGGCTATACTAAAGAGAAGAGCTTGAGAGCATTTAAAGCGCTTCCATGAATACTCTATGCCAGTGGTTCACAACAGCCGGTCCACAGACCGCTGTCTGTCCGCGAAAAATTTCGTTGTTTTCATGCCGTCTCAATTGCTTTGTCGAAGACGGAGATTGCGTTGATTTATTACGCAATTTCTCTTCTGTCGTCATAGTGCGACGTCTTTCGCGAGTAATCACACTTTTCGCTTTTCCGGCTCCGATTCATCGCGAATGCGCTCCATCAAATCTCGCAAGATTTAGAAACGGCACGCGTGCTTTCTCTGTGCTGCGTGCTTTTCCTGATTAATATGACCATCTATATAAAACTTAATGCATATTTTTTTTGTTTAAACCAGAAAACATTCAAGAACAGTATACTATTACAGTAAGATATGAACTAGTTGCGACCCAGCAGGTGGCCACGAGACGCGCAAAAAAACATGGGCCGCAGAGATCTTTTTTAGTATTTTGAGCAGACACAGCGGGCTATTGAGCTATAGGTGCCAAGTTACTGACAACTTTGTCATTCTAATGTAAATTCATATTGTGAGGCGTCGATCAACTGCAGGGGGATTAATATGATGAACCCGATGAAAAAGAGGAAAGCTTGATTAAAATTGTGATTCTACTTTATAGTCCACATTTAAAAAGGTATCACTGTCGCAATTATGGATATCTTTCGATAACGAATACCCATCGCTAAGTAACCGAGCAATTAAACTGTTGTCCGTATTTTCAACCAGTTACTGCGTTATGCGAAAAAACGTTTTTCTCACTAGCTTTAATCAAAACGAAGCAAAGAAATCGGCCGTACGCCGCTGCAGAGCTCCGGGTTGCAGAAACTTCTTTGAGGCCTCGTCTGCAATCCTATAATGGAAACGAAACAGCAGCGAAATCCTCACTTGTGTTTGTACATGATTTAGCATGTTTAATTTATGTGTAATTTATTTATAAAAACATTAAAATAAACCCCATTAGTGTTTTATCCATTAAAAATAATCACAACCAACAGTAAATAAAACAACTTTTACGAACATTTTTAGGTTTTTTAACTGTTATATATAGCCGAAATATATATATATAACGGCCGGTCACAGCCGATATGATATATCGCCAAACACGCAATATCGGGCCGATATATCGGTTGAGCTCTAATGCTGAGGGCGTGTAACAATAAAGATTCATGCCTCCAGTCTCGTGAATCAAAATACCAAAGGAACATGTCACAACTGTAGTTGCCGGTACCTAGTAGTCTACCTCAGGGTGGTTTAAGGTTGCTAGGTTGAATGACCGCAAAAACTTTTTAGGAGATCTCGCGGGCCGCAAGTCGGAGAAAACCCAAAAGTGATCAAAATATTGCGAGCCTTTAATTTAACCCAACCCAGCCGGTCGGTCTGGTGCCATTTTACATGGATTATTTTTTTTGTCAACCATTAAGCCCAAAAGATTCACTCATGACTTTTTAATGTCGTGTGCTAGAGTTATATTCAGCAATATATGTAAAACGCACTTCTCTAAAAAAATATTTTTTATACGTCAAAATTTCTACTGAATTTGCGAGATTTTGTGTCTAGTAGAGTGGTAATAATTATTCCTAATTAATTAATTTTATTTCAACGTTTTCTTGTGTTATTTTCCAACAAAACAACACGAAAACCACTATTATAGCAAGAATGGTTACTCTTAAATTCACGATTGTATTTACAAAATATTCAAGTTCGAGGCTTCAATTGACAATTTTGATGACGCCACACCTCTGATTATTACTGCACAGCCTACCCTCAATGCAAAAATGTTACTTTTTTCGACGGAAATGCGCGTAGAAAGACGTAAACATTCTAATGCGCGCCGTTACAAGTGAAAATTACCATTCATTTTACGTTTTTTTCACGTTTGAAAAAATCTCTATACCTCTGCCAGGTATGGTGCAGTCGAAATCATATTTTTCAAAACATCACAGGGCCAGTGATGGAATGTATAACTAAAAGTACATGACAAACCAATACTAAGCCATTATAAAGGAGTTTATGGTAGGTAATTTCCCGTCTGAGTCATATCAACGAATTCACATATCTGAAGGACGATTTTCAAATCAATGCTATTTATAGAACTGGCATTTATAGCAAAGATGGAGTCCCTTTTTCGTGAAATATACTACTCCACCATTGAACATTAACCGTAAAACACCATAAATACCTTTTAGAGTTGAACTAGGCATTAATAATACTACATTTAAACTATATATATATATATGCCATCCGGCTGCGTTGTTAATAAACAACGAGAGTTTACCGTTCTAATCAGACTATTATCATGTTGCATAGGTGGCGTTCTTTTAAAGAAGATATATAAAGTCTTCAGTTATTTTAAAATTAATTCCCGAAAATTACCGATGTATTTTTCGCATTTTGGATTTCAACTAGACACTGTGTGGTAGGCAATGAAATACATTTACAAGCCAAGTCTTAGTTGGTATTTCGGGACCTAGCTAAAAAAACTGGATTGCGCGGCGTTAAGTCGGCTCTGTGTTTCGCTACTGTCACATGGCCCACGCTTGAAAGCAGAAGAGTGCTTTTACTGAAATAAAGGCATAAAATGTTAGAAAATAGGGTTTGAATCTCGAGATCCCAACCCCAGTTGGAATAACTGAAAAAAAGTTCTGCTATTAGATACAAATATACGCTAAAATTGGTCTGTGGGCCGCACGGAATGTATCAGCTTGATAGGGTTTGGACCAACCTGGTCTACCTTATCAAAAAACTCCCGACTTCGCTGACCACTAGATCGTTGAAATGCGATCGTGGAACCGCCACATAGTGCAATAGTTCATTAGTCCAATTGTTGAAGGGAAAAGAAATCTTTTTTAAATAAAAATGCAGCAACAAGGAAGATACTAAGAAGAAAAAACAACACAATTTGAGAAAACGACTCATAGGCCCACTTCGTGTCAAAATAAGTTTCAGTGTTAATTTTTAATAAAGAAGGGTAATAGGCTACTTGAAGACGAAAATTAGGCGAACATTTTAAAGTTTGAGTCGTCGGGTGAACTCAAAATATTTTAATAAACACCGATAAACTATATGAAATTCTGCTCTAAAGTTGCTGTGGTGCCCCTCTTTGCTTGGTGCCCTAAGCACGTGCTTATATTGTTCAATGGTTAATCCGGCGCTGGATGCCCAGCACTGCATTTCATTACGCAAAAGATATGGTATTATTTTATGTTTCACCCATTTCAATTTTTGGCCGGCACATTATTTGATAGTTTTTTTTCTTGTGAAATGTTTTTAATTGTGCCTTTTTTTATCTAGAACCATATTGAGTGCCCGATATTGCATTGTATAACGCAAATATTTGTTATTCTTTTATGTTCCGGTCATTTCAATTTTTTGCCGGTCCGCGAGTAAATTTAATTTGATTTTACCGGTCCGCGAGGATAGAAAGGTTGGATATCGCTGCGCTATGCGACTTATGAATTACTTCTGAATTCTGGAGATGCGCAGCTTGATTTGACGTTCAGAATCGATTCCTAAAATATTTCGTATCTCTAATTATTTAATATATTTTTAACCCGAAGTGAGAATATTGATGTCAATAAACGAATGAAAATAATTCTAATTTTGCTACCATGATGTTATTGATTAATCGATCGTTATACTATTGAAAAGTATTTCTCAGATGAAGATATCTGATGTTCGTATAGATAGTTTCATAAAAGTATAATATTGTATATAATTTGAATTCGAGTATCGTTTTTCTGACCTCTGGCGGCCTCACTCAAATACAATGCAGTTAACTATGCTTCGTACGAGTTCAATTTTCATTTTAGCATTTGCAGACATGGATAAAAGAAAGTTATTGGCTTTAGCAGTAGTATTAATAATAATTGGTATTGTTGTAATATTGATTGAGACATTGACAACTGATGATAGCAACGGTGTTGAAACGAGCGAAGTCACAACTATCACAAACACCACAAAATCGACTACGAACACGACTAATCCGCCGCCGCCACCAATCACAACTACAAAAAGTAATGTATAATATGTCAGTATACTTTGTCCGTAGCCATATATTTTTCAAGAGTCTTTACGATTATAAATCTACTTATCATTCAACATCAATCCAAATACATAAACAAAGATGAGATCCCACAGCATCTTTTATATAAGCAAATCTTAATACATTTTTGTAACTTCCTCTGATACCAATGGTTTCTTATAAACATTTTATAAAATTGTCAGTACATATTATAATATGATATGAGCGCGAAATAATTTTATAGGCGTAAGCGTAATCAATAACAAACAAAGATGAGAGCATCAGAGGATTAAGCAAAATCTACACTTTTTACAAAATATGGGATCGGTTGACCGATGATCATGCTCATGCTGCCAATGCACATGCCTTTGTATAAATTAGTATATAATAAATAACATACTATAATTTAGTCCAACAATGAACTTAAATTTTACCAAGTTTCCCAGGCGAAATAATAATGATTTTGAGAAGACCAATAAATTTTTTTTAAACAGATATAATATTCAAATCATTTTATTCATGTTACATAATTGATATATTTGAATATATTAATAACTTTTGTTATTTATGTTATCTAAAATGTATTTGTTCCCTCAGGCCCTTGGGAAGTTTGGCATAAATTTTCAACTGGATCGTACAAGTTGTTTCTGACAAATATTAATTATGAAGCAGCAAAGAAAAGTTGCAGCGATGTTAATGCAAGATTGGTAACTGAAGGAATAAGACGTACGATTACCCGCACGTAAGTTCATGTAATGAAACTAATTGCAACTGACTTTTATAGTTTTATTCATTTGCTTATGATCATGTATAGTATATACCAACGGTGGGCAAACCGCGGCTCGCGAGCCCGGCGAGCCGCATGATGCTCTTCTCAGTACTTTTTTCAATTTATTAAGCGGTTGAAGAACTTTTCATCAATGATTAAGACAGATTATGTTTTAGTATGAAAATCGTTGTGGCGTGGAATCTTAAATCAGTCAAGCGACCAATGTTACGTCACAATAGTCGAATGTATGTTGCTGAGTTGGCGGCATTGCAATTTGAGTGCGGTTAGTCTCACTTGCGGATATGTCAAGTAAGGAGGAAATATTCGAAGATGAAAACAGAGTTGTCAAGTCAGAATGGAGAGAATAATACGCATTCACTAGTAAAGAAAATAAACCTTTGTGCTTAATCTTTCATAAGCTGCTCTGAATAAAGTCAGCAATGTTGAACGGCACCATGAAACAAATCACAAAAATCTTGTACAAGACTACTCTCGTAAATCATTTGTAGGAAAACACAGATTAAATGTCTTTGAATTAATACTAAAGAGACAGCAGGAAATTATGATATCCTTTGGCAAGGAATTCGATGCATCAATTAAAACTAGTTTTGTTATATTATGGAATATTGATCATGTTAAACACCAATACTCTGACTGTATTTTATTAAAAATATATTGCGGATGTTGTCGCAGTCAATAGCCTTAACGGCGGTTTCCTGTTTCCAAAATTAGTATCGATGTAACAGTTACAATGCAAACTGATTTAATGAGCTCTAATATTAATAATTTTAAAGGTTATGCGGCTCTCACATATTTCTGACTTGCTGCATGCGGCTCTTATACCAAAAAGTTTTGTTTAATCATAACTATTATGCGGTGTTTTTAAAAAAAATTGATCTCGACTAGAAAAATGGCAGGGCTGTTTGCCATGTAAAAAAGAATTCGTGATATCTCTGTGTTATAATATTTGTGCAATATTTAAATTTAGTCATGAATAGAATCTTTTTCCGATAGTGGTCGATGAAAAAAACTCAAATTAGTGTTGTAGGAAATCCGTGTATTGAAAGTCTCCTCAATCGGATTGAAATCTTCTTAGGGAGAAATAAATTGCATAACGTTCTATTTTGGCAACCACAGACATTAAGATATGCTTTCGATTACTTTTATTTGTATTGTATTTGTAGTCTGCGTACATGATGTTCATACCAATTAAACTTTGCCAGCTGTAAGAAAATTATTCCACAAATTACGCCTTCTGATAAATTATAAATAATATATAAATAAAAATAAGCATTTATGACAGCAATTTTAAAGTTCTCCTATGGCACAAAAATATTTTGATTCATAAACACCTTTTTTCTATGACGAAGACCTTTTCGCGACCCACTCGTTGGGAAGCACTGTAATAAAGTAAAGTGCCAGTATTATTTGAATAATTGAAATCTGAAGGGTTTCCATCTGGAAAGAGTAGTCGACTATTGATTATATGGGTTATTTCGCTGAGAAAGGGCGTCAATTTCTCATAAGAGCTCTGCTGTAATACAACACTGATCCATCAAGCCCTTTACGAACCGAGTTGATAAGCAATTTTACTACTCCATTTTCATGTGATGCGGATGGCACATTGATCTCCAATAAAATCTGGTTTGATTCTTTGCCGACTCAATAAAGATCAACCAAAGATTTCAGTTCCCTATCCATTCCCTGATAGGTGTTCGACTGACTTGAAATGTAGTACCACTATTAGAAAAACAAAAACGTAGGATGAATTTCTCTTACAGATACAGATTGTTCCAAATGAATACAGCGAGTGGTTTGTATGCAATGATTAAAACTGATGCATTGCATATGCATAAATAATCTTCTATCTTATACGACAAATCTGCTTTAACGTCATTTAGTTGCCTTTCCTGAGTTATGTCTTCGACTATTCTTTTGACGTAATTTATCTAATTTTGAATCCTCACCATCCATTGGTCAACATTCTGTTGGTTGCTTCATAAATCCAGGCCATTCATGCCAAATGTTGAGTTTCTCACATGAAATTGTTTTTTTGAAACAGTGTTAGGCATTAAGATGAATAGGAATGAATTGGAATTTCTTTTTCAGAATCTTATGTGTATCTTGAAATTCTTGTAATCTCAAAGCAACGAACGGTTCGAATTTTCCAGATTGAGAAGTTAACCAAAACATAACGGCCTTAACTAGCAAAAATCAACTGGAAATGCCGCCTTATGGCGGTGTAGTGGGTTAATTTTTAAATTTGAATAAGCTGATTTAAGATCTACCTCGGTAAAAACCTTACAACCAAAAAGGTGTGACCGGAAGTCTTATAATCATGGTAATCGAAAGCGTGGAAGTCTTGTAATTAGATTTTTTAGAAGTTTCTGTATTTCTTCGTCAACTTGCTTTTTATATTTGAACGGGATCGATCGGCCTTGATTTTGTTTAAACAGGTGGCCCCAAGTTTATAATATCATGTCAATTTAATATTCATGTCTCTTAAAGATGCATGTATTCGATTCAAAATTTCAGGATATTTTTCTGATAAAGCCGATATTTCTTATCCACAGTCTTTATCCACAAAGATTCAATAGTACAATTTTGGCACGAAATAATAACTCCGGTTGACTTATTTATTATTGAACAATTATCTAAGTCAACAACCAATTAATTTTTTCAAAAGAAAGTCAACACAAGAATACCGTCAATATTTATATTTGCCATGATACATTTGTGTATAAATGTAACCTTACCTGCCAAGCAAATTTTAACTCGTTTGTGACCGAGTGCGGGTAATTTTGTTCCGGTAGCTGTCACTGAAGGTTATGATTTCTATCCCCAGCTTTCTGTACAGCTTTTTACTACTTGTCTAAAGAGACTGGTTCTATTTAAAATTTCACGGTGGTGCGCATTTATGGCATTCCTACAAATTTCCCCATTAAAATGACAAAATCTACTTCTATCATTATCTCTATATACATTACTACTTCTGTTGAAATTTTTTTGACGGTACTGATTTCATGGTAATCACTACGCATGTACTTATTACTGCTTAACATATTTGGGGCTTTAATGCGGTGGATTGGATTTTCTTTCAACTCAAATTTTCGAATGTTTATGCTCAATTTGATTGTTCAAATTGTATACATTTTTTTTACTCACGACCTAATAGTCAATTGACTTATTTCACCTTCTGATGACAAGTATCTGTTCATTAGTTTTATTCGAAATTGTGAACGAATTCTTTAGATGTTTTAAAATTACATCAGGTCTTTCATACTGTACTTAACCCGAAATAACTTTATTCAGTTTTTAGCGAGTAGCGGGTGCAAATATATGAAGTATAATATGTGTTTAACTATTTTGACGATGATAGCGGCTGTAGAGTGAGCCATGCTTACCCTATTTGAGACATCAACTAATATATGAATTCACAAATGGGGAAATTGAACCTGCACAAAATTGATTATGGCACCCAGAATTGATATCGATTAACACTAACTTGGGCATTCTGACGTCCAGTTACTAATACAGTTTCTCATACACCAGATCACACACTGCTCGAATATTCGTCAGAGGCAAATTTCTTGAGCCAGTCGAACGACCGCTCGAGATGCTGCAATCCACCGATCAACCCTCTTATGTAGCGAAGGAGATAAATATGAGTTGGAACATGACAGTAGCACAGCCCCACCAATGCGTTAGTTTATTCACGAAAAAGGGTATATCATAGAGACGTCTGCAGCGCGCTAATTCGATTGTCGATACATAGTTGGATGGAAAATTGTTTTTATTGACAAAATTATTCAAACATATATCTTTCCTGTTGTGCAACGTCAAGCAATTAGGAGAAATGCATATTGTAATACCCGAATCTTTTTCGCTCTCAACTTCTTGAAGTTTCATTTTAAATTCAATTTAGAAATTTTTACCATGCACCGGTATATTTAATCACGAATGATCAGAATATTTGCGCCATTATTACTTTTACACCTTATTAACTTACTTATGTTTCACTTTATGATATATATATCATGACAGCCCTGCGTGCTATGGACACATTACTAATAATTTTCTATTTCACTGTACGTTGCATATAAAATAACTATCATAAAATATCTATCTCTATCATATCTACAACATTATTATTGATTATTGCATTAATTTTTACTTTTCAAATTTAATTGAAAACGATTAGATTTTTGCAGGTATTTCTATAACACTCGGTAACGTCTCTGGTTTTCCATTGGGAGAATCGTCGAATTCTTCTTGACCCGAGAAGAGCTAAAGTGTACTGCATTGTACTCCGTCTAGAAATGTTATACACAAATATAGCGTTTGGCTCATTCCAAATTGTGTTGTTCCAAATCAAACAGTTCTCGTTTTGTGGACGTGATTTTGATTTTTCATAATAATACAAACTCTATATAGAAAATGTTTTTGAATTTTGTTACTGAATTTGAAGTAATTGACTATGTTATATCATCGATTATTTTTGGTCAAAATATTCACATTTCTCACTTATGGTGTTTGCACACAGAAGAAATATAAATTATTAAGCTTAATGACCGTTGTTATTTCACTTCATGAACAGTATTTAGAGACCAAATGAAATTTTCGAGTAATTTTACAACAATTTTTGCAGTTTACAACAGTTTTTGCTTTAAAGTATGATAACGAAAAAAAAAATGGAATTTTCGTTCTCTTGTACCACCAATCATGCTATACTAAAGACAAGAACCTGGGAGCCTTAAAATCGTTTCAAGGATTTATGTGATTTATTGGTACAGAATTCTAGAGATGCACAGCCACGGTTGACTTCTAAAATGGATTTCTAACATATTACTCACTTTCAATTAATATAAATATTTTAACTACAAATAAGAATATCAATGTAAATAAACGACTAAATAAAATTATAATTTTGCTATTGCTATACGATATTATTAATTAATCGATGGTTATACTAAAAGAGTATTTCTCAGATGAAGAAATCTGGTGTTCTCATGGAATCATGCATATAATAATCTTGTACAGAATTCGAGTATCTTTGTTACCTTATGACATAGTCCGAATTTTTCTGCTTTCGAGTGCTATCGATCTAATGCACACAAATGCATTTAACTATGCTTCGTACAAGTTATGAAAATTCCAATCTATATTATTTCACATTCCCAGACATAGATAAAAACGGTATTGGGTATAGTATTAGTAGTTATATTACTAATATTCGCCATTGTTGTAATTATGATTAAGACAATGGCAACAGGTGATAGTAACGGAAATGATATCGCTGAAACAAGCAAAGCCACAACTACGAAACGTAATTTATAATAGACTTGTGCGTAGCCATATCTTTTTCAAGAGTCCCTACGTTTATGAACTAACGATCGGCACATTCACCAAGTAAACGACATACAGATGATTCTACTTACTACAGTACAAGCGTCGTACATCACCATATGAAGCGAGGTCGTTCGAGGGCCACAATAATAGTTGGCGTGTCTCACTTTGCCGACCTCTGCTTGAACTGATATCCCGAAAAAAAACGAACAAATGTTTTCCAAATTCATATCCAAATCTCAGTGACCCTCAGTGGCCGGACAAACAATAAAATATTACCTATAAAAATACAAGCAATCAAGCATAATATATAAAGCATAAATATCTTAGTTTACTTACATTTAAATGAAGTTTTGGCAGAACAGTTAATTCCAATGTTAGAAACTTAAAAAATAAATAATTCAAACCCAATGACAATAGCACTAATGATAACCGCCATGTGACAGATCTAAACACAGGCTAAAATACTGTTTAGTTGACCATAACAGAAAGCAATAAAGTAATCGAATTGCAATGTGAGTAAACCATACGTAAACACACCAAAAATGAATATTATCAAAACTAAATCAGTTCAATGGTCAAATCATTTTCTCGGTGACTGGGAATGCAACAAAAAACGATATTATAGATTAGAACATCGTTGACTTGAACGTCTTTCATTTCACATACATTGTAGAACTTCTTTGGTCACATTTAGACAAGGTTTGCGCAATGGTCATTTTAACAAATTCCCATCTTTAGCATCTGTACCAATTGTCACCAAGTTATCTGAACTGGACATAGCGTCGTGGACCATTCCCCTTCTGCATAAATCTCTGAGTGCACTTCCTACCTCAAATCAAAGTTGATGAATTAATATGTAGTATTCTAGATTGCTTCCTGTTAAAAATAATTTGTTGGCAAGTAAAAGTTGAGGTGGTATGTGTTTCATCCACGTTATTTTAAAGCATCTGGTCTCGATTTTGCGCCACTCTTAGTATGTCTTGTGGATTTATACTCTATTTTTGCAAAGTTTGAGAGTATACCTGTGAACATAATAATGAGTATTGCCAGTAATACAATTGAAATCTGAAGAGGTTTTTTGTAGATAGAGTGATCGACTATTGGTGATATAGGCAAGTCCGCTGAGGACAGTCGCACATTCTGCATTCGTCATTGGTCTCTGCTGTAATACACCACTGATGCATCGAGCCCTTTACGAACCGAGATTATTACCGATTTCACTAGTCCAGGGGTGCACAGCCTTTTTGTTATCGGCGGCCACATTGCAATTTTTTGTATTCAATACGGCCCTCCAAGGGGTTGTGCACCGTTGCACTAGTCCATTCTTATGTGATGCAATTGGTACATTGTTTTCCTATAAAGTCGTGTCCGATTCTCAGCTATCTCGATTTAAAGTTATAAATTAATTAGGTATGGGGCACGCGGTGTCACTATAGATTCATGAATCGGAATCGAAACCGCAGTTTCGATCGATAAGTCTTTGGTCTCCGACCGATATTCTCGGTTTAATACTTATCGATCTTTAGATCGGTAAGTATGTTGATAGGTATTTATTTGTTTGTCTGTCTCTTAGATGCGCGCTATATCTCACGAAGGTGAGATTGAATTTGCTCCAAATTTTGCATGCGCATTCATCATATCTCGGACCAGAAGCCTATTGATTTTGGATGAATTATGCCGTATAATTAGCGTTAGGTATGAATTAATTAGTGACGAGACACGCGGTTTCACTATAGAGTCATGAATCGGAACCGCTTTTTCGATCGAAGTCTCCGGTCTCCGACCGATATTCTCGTTAGAATCGTTGTTAGGTTTAAATTGACCCACCTTTTTTGCATTTATTATGCCATAAGTTTAGCCCGTATTAATAAGAAAGTTATTACTTAAAAAACAATCATACACAAAAACAATTTATCATTGCAAGAAAAAGATATTTCATCACTAACAATTTACTACACCTACATAATTTCTGTAATCCTGTAGAATTTTGATTATATTTAAGTAGGTGTTCAAACGGAATTTCTGTTATAATATTCAAACACACAGTTTGATCATTCATGTAACATTTATAGTTTGGAAATATTCATTTTTCGCTGTTTAGAAAATACATGAATAAGGTTTTTTGACGATTTCACGTGCGCCCACAGAGCCAAGCTTATTGGCAGCGGTGGATTTTTTTGTATGCGTATGTGCAGTTGTCTCTATATTCAGTACTCATTATTTTTGTGTAAGACCTCATCACGATCAGACGATCACGAGCTATTTTGAAGATTTTAGTCGATCGCGGTCGAAAGCGTTGGCCACCCTGATATAAATTAACACTAACGTGGGCATTCTGACGTCCAGTTACATCAGTTCACACGCTACTTAAATATTTGTTGGAGGCAAATTTGTTGAAGAATGATGTCACTTAACATAAGTTCCCTTAACATCAAGTGCGATCGACTGCTCAAGGTGCGGCTGGTCGTTCGCGATCGACGTGTTGGCCACCCCTGTTATATGATATCTCGAAGGAGATACATACAAGTTTGAACAGGACAGTCGTACAACCGCACCAAGGCGATAGGTTTTATTCGAAAAAAAAAGTGTATAATCGAGATGTTTTGAATCCGCGTAAACTATTGCAACACCTAGGATAGTGCCGAGCGGCGTTTCCCAATGTCTCTATGCTATAAAAATGCACGATCAAATTATTAAAATAAACGTGGTGTCTATATGTATCCGTATCAAATACATTGCAGCGCGATGGTGCGGTGGACCAACGCCTACGTTCCAGGCACTTGTATATGCAAAGAAAACGTGGCAGGTAACATCCTGATATGCGTCCAAGCGACACGGAGCAATCACAATTCACATTCATACTAACTAATATACCGGCGGAAGAAAGAAAGCAGATATTCGGTACGTGAGTTAATCAAAAGCAATTTCATAGTCTAATTCGATTGTCGATTTACAGCGTGGATTGAAATTGTTATTAATTCATGATTTTTTTTAAACATATCTCTTTCCTGTTTTGCTACATCAAGCAATTCGAAGAAATGCATTTTGTAATAACAGAATCTCTTTCACTTTCAACTTCATGAAGTTTCATTTTAAATCACGAATAATCTGAATATTTGCGCCATTATTACTATTACACCTCATTAACTAACTTATGTTTCACTTTATGATATATCTTGACAGTTCAAATTATTTTCCCTGCGTGTTATGGACACATTACTAATAACTTTCTATTTCATTGTACGTTGCATATAAAATACTCTAGCTAGAGTTATCATATCAACAAAACGCGTTTGAAATTTTGCAATATGCCGCACAGTATAGACGATTGACATGTAAACATATTTTCCGTAAAAGATTACTTTCTAATTGTTTCAACACCTAAAAGATTTGACAAAAAAATATTATTATTGATTAATATTTTATTGCATTTCGTTTTACATTTCAAATTTATTTGAAAAAGGTTAGATTTTTGCAGGTATTTCGACAAATTTCCATTGGGAGGATCGTCACTTGACCCGATAAGAGCTAAAATGTTATGTCATTGCTTTTGGCGATTAGCTCTAGAACGGCATGGAAAATTAGAACAGAGAAAACAATATTTTTATATTTATAATCAGATGGAATTGCTAGCGAGTTAAATAATCCGATTCAATTTCATTATTGCTGCAATGCGACTATTATAAAGCGTGTGAATGTATATAGCATTTTTTATGTCTTTCCAATTTTGGGAGTTTTTTAAATATGGCTCATAAGGTTGAAGTAGTGAGAATATCCCTTTAACTAGATTGCTGTTGATGTGACATTTTTCGCAGGCGTAGTGCTAATGTTACCCAACAAAATAATTTTAAATGAGAGGCAAAAAAATAAATGGCTACTTGATTTGTACAATTCTTCTGATATCATATAAGAGTAATTTTTTTTCGAAAGGAGTGAAAGGCAATAGCTCATGATAGTTGTTTTCATCCCACTAGTATCATTAAACATACAGTGGCCGTACAAGAATATTCAATGGAAGTATATGAGAAAAATTGTAGTAAATTTAAAATAAGTGATGTGAAATGTCTAAAAAATCATAGTTGACTTCTAACTAAAATTTGAGTATATTAAAAATTGCATTGTTTTGCAGGTTCGTTGAATATTTTATTTTCAACTTTGTAAGCTGAATTTTAAATAATTGACTCTGTTATAGCATTGAATAAATCTGGTCAAAATAATGGTTTTCTCACTTATAATGTACATGAATAAAAATTCAAATTAATAGACTTTATGGCATTTTATTTTACTTCAGCAACAGATACATTTTCGAGTAAATTTATTACAAACAATTTTTCAATTAGGTAGGTAATTGAAGCGCATTGAAGAGCAACGATCGGTGTATTTTCTTCAAAGTATAATATCGAGAGAAAAAATTGAACTATCGTTCTCGCAAAGCACAAGTCATCAGTTGAAGCACGAATGCTTATACTGAAAACAGGAGCTTGGGAGCCGCCTTAAAAGTACTTCCAGGAAACTCTATGCGATTAATTTCTGGAGATGCGCAGCTTAAGTTTGCTTTTAGAATGGATTCTCAACATATTTCGTATTTTTAATTAATTTAAATAAATATTTTTAACCCGAAGTAAGAATATCGATGTCAATAAACGAATAAAAACAATTCAAACGAAGAAATCTGATGTTCGTATGGAATCATGAAAATATAATCTTGTGAATAATATGAATTCGAGTATCGTTGAAAACTTAACCATAGTCTTGGCCTTTTGTTCTTGAGTACTATTGCCTAAATGCAAACAAATGCATATGCTTCGTAAGGGTAATTTCAATCTATATTATTTCAGCATTCGCAGACATGGATAAAAAAAAGTTATTGGGTATAGTTTTAGCAGTAACAATACTAATAATTGTCATTGTTGTAATTTTGATTGTGACACTGAGAACTGGTGATAGTAGCGGAAATGATACAAGCAATACCACAACAACCACAATATTGACTACGAAGACGACTAATGCTCATTCACCGCCGCCGCCGCCACCAGTCCCAACTACAAAAGGTAATTTATAAGTCGTTTGTCCGTAGCCCTATATTCTTTGAGAGTCTTTACGATTATGAATCCACTTACCATTCAACACCAAGATAAATACATAAACAATAATGAGGTTCCACAGCATTTTTTATAAGCAATTATTAATATATTTTTGTAACTTCCTGTGATAAGCATGGGTTTTTTGATAAACATCTTATAAAATTATTAGTATTGTATTTTATAAGATGGTCTGAGCGCGAAATAATTTCATAAGCGTAAACGTAAGAAGAATGTATTATCAATAACAAATAAAGATAAGAGGATCAGGAAATTAAGCAATACCTACCCTTAATACAAAATATAGGATCGGTCGATCGATGAGAAAATCACGCTTTTGCTGACAGTGCACATACTTTTTGAGGTGACATTTCTACAAATTCTATTATACAATATATAAATTAGTATGTGATTAATAACATTTCATAATCTAATCGAATAAATAGAAGAAAAAAAAATTAAATTTTATTGATTTACGCAAGCAAAATGAAAATGATTTCGAGAAGACTAATCAATTCAAATTGATTTTAATTCATATATACTAAATGGATATTATTTTAAAAAAAAATTTTGTATGGTGAATAATATTTGATACAGATTCTGACAACAATTTTTTCGATATTCATAATACCTAAAAACTAATTGTTCTTCAGGCATTGGGAAAGATTGGCATAAATTTTCAACTGGATCATACAAATTATTTCCGACTAATGTTAATTACAAAGCAGCTAAAGAAGGTTGCAGAGCTGTAAATGCAAGATTGGTAACTGAAGGAATAAGAAATGCAGCCACCCGCAGGTGAGTTCGTGTAATGTGACTAACTCTTATAATTTCATTTATTTGTTTATCATCATATAGAGCTATAGGCTATGCAAACAAATAAGATAGAATTATACAATTTCATCAATTGTTTTGCGAACAATTATTTCAGTTTTTATCCTGCATCAAGTCTGACAAATAAGTTGAAAGAGGCTAAACTTCGGTAGACACATTCCAAAACAAGCATAATGAGGATCATCAAACTAATGATTATAAAATTGACAGAAAATTTATTCAAATGTAAAATATTTACAAGAAATGTTTATATAGGTATTATGTTTTGCCTTAAGTAACAACTTTTGTGTACTGCTGCAAGTCGAGAATCTTGACAATTAAAAATAATAGCCGCAACAGAGCATATCAGTCTAGAAGGACATCTCTTTTGTAGCAAGCAGTTCTATCAGTTTATCGTTATCACAAATTTTATAAACCCATTTTTTACATTGCAAGAGTTGTTTGTTCAAGAATATGATAAGGAAAGTAAGACCGACGACGTTTTAACGACAGCTTGGATAATTCATATCATTTATTTGACTCTCATGTGTACACTGCATGCTACTTCGTAGTTCAATGTATATATTTTATGAAGCTAATTTATAATAATGAATTACGATAAGCATTCTATATAGAATGAGTTACAAATTGATAGAAGCTTGAATTTACCTTAAGACAAATATGCTTGACTTTCAATAACACAATTAACTTCCTTAAATTTAGGAGCATTATGGATGAAATGGTACTTCCCGCTTTTAATGCAAATAAACTTGGAGAAGGAGGTGGAGTGTGGATAGGATTGGATGACCTGGAGGTAATGAACACGTGGAAATGGATCGACGGTATTGGATCGACAATACAAAACACTCCTTGGGCTCCCGGTGAACCAAATAATCCACTTGAAAGATGTGGAATGTTGCATAAAAATTTGAAGTGGCTTGTCAATGATCAGGGTTGTTCCCATGACATGGCATATGTTTGCGAAATAGCAAAAAATGAATGACAGACGCAAAAAGTATCAGAGAATATAATTTTCATACTTAATATTGTTTCTGCATGTTTTACTGTTTGTTTCAAGTTGTAGCTAACTAACTAACGAACAATACTTTAATTTCATAAACTCCCTCTTCTTAACAAAGTTTAATATAACAACTATTCATGTTCAAAATGACAATGTCAAATGTATATTTTTCACAAGTCTTAATTTTAACAATCAATTCATAATTATAGTTTCAGCTTTATATTCCTGTTAAACCAGGGGACCCCAAAGACAACTTTCAAGTGTCCAGTGCGACCCCAGGTCAATATGTATTTTTTTTTATGAAACCTTAGACTTTAGAGCTTTTCTCACTGGACTTCTGAGTTTGGTCATGTGGTGATTTTAAGTAAAATAAGCTAAACATTTAAACTCTTTATTTTAATTAACAATTAAAAATAACGAAATTAAAAAAAAAAAAAACAGTGTGAAAATTTCTTTTTTTGGGAATGGTTACTGTTTAATTTTAATCAATTTCCTGTACCTGGGGATGTATGATGTCAGGCAAAACATACCAAAGAATTTTCCAAGTTAATGTTTGTTATGCGGCTCCGATAATCACTTTTAATGAACATCATTAATGAGAATCCTGCCTCACATATACGTAAGTAGTTCCGAATCGCACAAGAACTTGCAATGCTCGATTTCTAACTGCTGAATACTTGTTTGGTAACTGTATCCAAAACTGAACCCTGAAAAACATCAAAATTAATTCTTTCTTCAACGTCTGCCTGCAATTCAGCCATCTCAAGTGCAATAGCACCGCAGTTCGTGATAAAGATATCAGTTTTAAATGGAAATTGTACAAAATCAAAAGATTCCGCTATCAAATCTTTAAATCTTAAATTCATGTTTTCTGTCAGATTCCTCAAGTAATCCAACAAATCTTTTTTCGCTTCTCCGAAGTCTAGTTCCCCATGGAAATCAACATCTATCATAGCATTAAATTCCTGGAAATGACAAAAATGAGAATAAATAGCCTATTTGTTTTAGCTTCTCTTCGAAGAATCTGCATCTTGCTGACAAAAGCTTTTATTGAGCTTTGAAAATCAAACGCCCATTTCCCTTTCCCCTGAAGTTGAGTGTTGACTTATTAACGTGTTCAAAAACGTCAGTAAGAAGCGCAAGGCGAGCAAGAAAGTGTGGATCATGAAAATAACGAGCGTTCTCGTGCCCCTTATCTTGCAAAAATATGGCAAATTCGCGAAGAAGAAGGAAAACCCTTTCCAAAGTTTCTCCCCTTGACAGCAGTGTGCTATAATAATGTGTGATGATTTGAATTTTCAGTAATGCACAATTGTTTGAACAAGCGAAAATTTAGTTCTCTGGCTTTCACATAATTGACAGTGGATATGACTATCTGCATTACATCAGAGAAGTTCGGAGACACGTTTTTTGAGGCCCAATTCGGACGATGAATTATACAGTGGTTTATCTTAATGTGAGGATATTCCTTAGAAAGAATTCCCAGAACTCCAATATTATTTCCCATTGATGGGGCCCCATCTATACTACATTTGATCACTTTATTCCAATCTAGATTATTTTCAGTGAAGAACTTATCAATACCACTAAAAATATCTTCGCCTCTTGTGGTTTAAGGTGAAATGCAAGCAAGCAGTTTCCAGTGACTGAGCTCTCTTTCAAAAATCTTCCAAAGATCAGAAGCTGTGCTTGTGCTGTTGTATCAGTTGACTCATTCACTGCCAGGGCTGTCCATGGCGATATTCTGAAATCCTCTAAAAGCTGTTCTTTTAGATCAGCTGCAATAGTTTGAATGAGTCTTGTTATAGTATTATTACAAAGAGCAGATTTATTAACAGCTTCCTGTACCTTTCTAGCAAATAGTTCACCCTCAAATATTTCACAAAAGATGTTTAAAGCAGGCTTTATAATAGTCTCACTCTCAGTGAAAGGTCGCTTATGCCGAGCAATAAGAAAAGCTGTCTTGTAAGAAAATATTTCGATCTTATTATTTTGTGATAGAACCCTGCATAAAACTGCTTGCGACTTGATTAAACTTTTATAACGATAATGGAAAACTCTATTGCGGGCCTCTTCTGACATGACAGCAATATTTGCATGAGTTTCCATGTGTCTCTAGAGTTTATTAGGTTTCAATGATTCCTCGGCAAATTCTTTGGAGCACACAACACATATTCTTTTACCACTAACCTCAGCAACCCTGTACTTATCGAAAAATAATGAATTGATAGAACGTTTACGTTTTTTGGTGGAATTTTCAGTAGGTGTGTTAAAAAAACTTTTCCATTATGGCTGAAAAACAATTTTTATTCAATAAACACATTTCGATTAATTCTATTACACACGTACGTTATACATGGTCTTATGCACACTGCCTGTGGCTCGAACTTACTTTACTTATTCCTTGACAAAAAAAAATTCTTGCTACTGGAAATTCAGAACTTTTTTGAGGGTACCGGTAGCGTCAAAGGTACCGGTAAGGACTGATTAGCTCTGGTCTAACGTGTCCATATATTTGTGCGTAGCTCTCTTGTTATACAAAATATTTACAAATAACATTTAATGCGACACTAGGTGACACAATAGATAAAATCAAAATTTTCTAAATGTCCATCACTAATTCTAGTTCTTCGCAAGAAAAATTTTATTTTGGTTGAGTAATTGAAAACAAAGGCGATTTTTTTCATAAAGATTGGAAAAATTGAAAAACAAGAAAAACATAATAACGATCCGTAGGTTTAAGTGAAGCACCGTGGACCGGATTATTTTACTCCGTGTGCCGGATATGGCCCGCAGGTGGCCGAACTCTAATCTAAAGTCCTCATACTTTGGTTTCCCGCAATGCTTGTTCTGTTTTTATAGTAGAATTGTGGGCACCGATTACTGTTTTCCACTTTTCTCAATGTCGAAATAGCAGTAGTTAATAGAAAATTTCTTTTCATGTTCGAAACAGAACTCATGGTTACGCTTACTCTAAATTGCAGTTTGTCCCTAAAAACAGTATTCCTAAAAACTAGCAGCAACTATTGTGTGTGTCACAGTTTGCCTGGAAATACCGCAAACCTCACCGTTGACAGAAAAAGTTCGTCCCTCGTTTCCACGCAAGCTTTGTATATACGCAAAACAAGTACTGTTCATCCACGTTTCTAAGACCAAATAAGCACGCGACTCAAAAATAACCACTTTTCTTAGAAATACGCACATCGTTACTCTATATTATAAGACGCGGGCTAGAAAATAAGCACAAATCTTAGAAATAAGCACGTTATGGCAACCCTGCCTGTAGGCCTGTTTTACAGTAAGCCATGGTACAAACTGCATAATTAAACATGATTTATCAAATCTTAGATGTTTTGTACATCCATCTTTTACCAGCGACCCCACCGACCCCACGGCCCGTTTGCGACCCCACCTACTTATCACTCCGACCCAATTTTGGGTCGCGACCCCTGGTTTGAGAACGCCTGTGTTAAACATTGCGTACATTTTATATGGTCACCTGGTAAATGATTCATATCTTAATAAATGGTTGCATTCAAGAATATCTGATGTGCGCAGAATACACTTTTTTCTCAATTTGCATTAGATATATTCAAAATATGGTATCTTTTTTCCCCCCACTACTCTGTGGTTCCTGAACTGTGCTATGTGACGTCATAGTGAGTCACAAAATAATGTCGGATTCGTAGTGAAATATTATTCTACCTTCTAAATATCACTAAAGATTACTTTTTATCTACACTCGTTTACAACCTACTCTGGAATAATCTGAATAGTTTAAATATTTTGAACAACTTCTCCCAGCTACCTCTGACGCAATGAATTTTTTGTTGAGGTTTTCATGGAATGTAATTACCAGCGTGTGTCAACTGACCAAACACCATCTAAATTCAAAAACGATTTATGATTGTACTATGTTTGCGTTATTTCCATGAAAGAAAATTACAGACAAAGGCAGAGAGGGATAGGATTATAGCTGGTAGTGACTGTGAAAAACGTAAACAAGATAACTCTTCCAATTTGTAATCTGTCTCGCCTTCTAATAAATGAGTTCATTTCTGCTCGTTAATCAGCCTCATTTAATAGAAGTCTTCAACTCAGTGGTCGACAAACTTTATGTACTGGCGGGCCAAATTTACACATTTCCGGTAGAGTGCGGGCCGCTTTATTTTAAGCCTATACCAACAATCGCAATTTAAAACCTCATATTATGACGCACTATCAACTCCTAATCAACGTTAAGAGATTATTGTCTTGTAAGCCGTTTTTTGACGATCTAAAAAAGCGAGTACGAAGTTTATTTTCATTTTTAGTGTAATTATTTTTGAATAAAGCTGCCCACAGCCATATGCACTTCCGAAAGTGCACACTACAACTTCTAGATTTTAGAAATTATAATTAGAAATTACACGTTTCGTAATTGAATGCTATAATAACTGCGATGCTGACTTCGAGTATCAAGCAAACTGGTTTTAAAACTCTCATAAAAAAAAAAATTTTTCATCCAAGGCAGCTTGAAATCTTCTACCCTTGCCGCCAACTTTTCTTTGTTTTGCAGACATTTTAATGCCAAATTTTCAAAAATCAAAACAAAATGATAATTACAACTAACGATGGGCACATTCTGCAATAGCGACCTACAAGTGACGCTACTTATTACAAATCAAACGTCATACATCAGCACTTATTACCACATAGAACTGTTGGAAACAATAATAAGTTTGGGATCAATTTTTGTTTTGTGCAAAATAAGGGAGGTCGTTCGAGGGCCAGAAAAATAGTTAGCGGGCTGCATTTATATCGCTGACAGATGCCCAATGACGATATCAAACGTCAAAGGTCCAACGAATTCCATGCCCAGAGGTCAAAACAAGTACGCAGTCATTCTTTTAAAATGATGGGAGTTGCAGTCTTGATTTCAGCAAAAAATGGGAGTTTATTTTTTTCCTATATTATTTAATATAAACAACTTATCTGTGATATGAACCAATACACCACGTCTTTCAACTCCAAGACAGGATTCCGAAAGCGCAAGCAAATAGAACTCAAAACAAGTTACCTGACACCCATTTTGTGTATCTTCAGCAGTACTTGTTCCAGTATTTACCTTGGCGCTTCCGCGGTTGCCTACAATTTGTTTATATGTGGCAATAAATCATGAGAGTTTCAGTCTATCATGTAACAACTTGAACATTGGAGTTGTAATTTATTGCTTTTCAAATGGTTGCATCTTTGTACATCTTCTTCTGTTCAAGTGAAATTTAGTGAACGTGTCAAATAATATTCTTCAATACATTGTTGAAACAGTTTAATTACAGAATATGGATTCCCGTTTTGAAAATTTTTTTTCCAAAATACTTTATTTACAATAAATTTAGAAGAAGAAATGAGCATAATCAAAAATTCTGTATTTCACACAATAAAACTTAATATTCTATTTTGTTAAAAAGAAAGAAATTCAAACTCGATACTTGATGATTATGTTTTTTTGAATTATATAAGTACACTGTTTTAATGACGAAAATAATTTTCCTCCGGATTCAAAGACTCGCTATGTAACGCACTTTCAAAAAAACTTCGTCGTATACATGTATAAATAATTTTTAGTTAATATATTTCTCCGAAATACTGTGCAATGGTCCAAGTGATTTTACATCTAATTCCACATTCAACATTAATGACATTTCAACATAAAAAAATTCCTAGGACAAGCTATAGAATCGTTCGTTAAATAAAATACAAAACGAGGTCGACGTAAATCGAATAATCTCAGAGTGAGTTTTATAAAAAAAACTAATGCAATATCAAAACTTACTTACAAAACAACCCTGAGACACTATTATTAAATGGAAACTTACTTTTTTGGTGAAAAAAACAACAATTCAGTAAATATAAATACGTACCAAATGAAATTTTTACACGCCAACACTCTATAACATTTTTCGTTGTTTAGTTTTTGCTTCATATTTTTGGGCAAGGAACTATAAAAAGGCCTCTTGGTCTGGATTTGTGAATCATGGGGAAAAAATGTAGTATAAAAATTAGAATAAACCTTTTATAGAACAAGCTTGTAGCGTAAATGAACCCAAGCGATCGTACGAAAAAGGTGTAAAAAAGAAAATAAGTGATTTTGTTGCACAAACCTTAATATTTACAAAATATAAATTGATAAAATATCACTTGATCTGTTCAGTTTGAGCTTATTACTCGGATCTAAGATGATTTTGTCCATCACGATCTATCAAACCGCAACCCGGTTTCAACGCGAGTGAAAGTTTGCTTTAACGCTTTATTTAGTCGGAAACTTTTTTCTTTCGTCAGCATTCCTTGTTTGGGTCGAATGTTGCAATGGACACTTGTGATAGAGACATTATTCGAGTAACACTTGGACCAAAATTCCAAGGCCTGTAGAAAAAAGATCATCATCGCAAATAGGTACCCAGTATTAATTAAAAATAATGACTCAATCAGTGTAAATTATTAAATTTTATATCTTACCCTTTTAACATAATCCAAGTTACAAAAGCGACCAGCGTTATTGCCAACATAGAGCTCAATACAATCATTGTTCCGATCCATGGACTAAGCGCTCCGGTCTGCGCTGCGGAAGTACTGTTGTTGTCAACTGAAAATAGGTTTGTTGATTAAAAACTGTTCTACTTATTCGTGTAATGAAATACATACTAAATCAACAGTATTATATACCTTTGCTTTAAGTTTAGATTATCAAGGCAAAAAGTTTATCTGAATATATATTAACTTTTTGAATGAATAACCTCTTTTTTATTAAATTATATTTTTTCCTCGTAGTTTATTACCAGATATCCTGTAGCTAGTTATCAAGAAAGATATTTTCATATAGTCATACAATATACTCTTTACTTGAAAATCATACTTACCAACACATTCTGGCATCGGTAAAGACCATGTCTCATTTTTCAAGCAGGTCAAATTTTCCGATCCTTGAAGAACATAGCCTTCAACACAATAAAACTGTAACGTGGATCCTTCAATCCATTTCGCTCCCTCTTGAAGGTAAGGTATTCCCGGGTTCGTACACATAGGTGGTGCTGTTATTAATAGAAATTATTGTTGGTACACATTTTGGAAAATTTATGAAACAAAAATCATGTTTCATGCTCTGATGAAATGCGTAAAATGACCATGCAATATTTTGTAATTCACAAACATCTTAATGTTAGTCATGTCCTGGATAAATTTAATTTAATCAAAATGGATACTTTTGTAAATACTTCAGGGTAGTTTTGTACGTGGTCTTGGCTTTGTGATGTAATAATGATTTGGAGTACAAATGAATCAATGTATTCAACTACGTTAATGCCATTTTTATTATATCCCGCTGCCCTGGTTTAGGCATTGATAGTCCAGGGCAAAAGGTGATATTTAAATGTTTTCACTCATAACTGGCCTGATGGTGAACCGCTTCCTTCAGTTGGCAAAACATTTGTAAATGCACCGTTTTGGGGCAGAGAAATGCGTGACGTAGAAACTTCACTTGATTTAGGCAATACCAATGTCGATGCCGTGGTATCGTATTCTTGAGTAGTTTGTCTATTTGTGATCATATCCTCTTCTGGAATTGTTTCTTTGTTTAGTAGTTCTGGAATCCGTGTCCGTGTACAATATGGGTTATTTACAACGTGTAATATTTAAATTGCTGTATTTATTTTCTAGGGATTTCAATATCACCAAGGACTACATTATCATTATGTCTGAAATATGACTTTGTTTTTTCAAATTATGCAACGTTGACACTGATTTTTATTTGAGTGATCAGGTGCAATTCATAAATGCCCTTTCAATCGAAAGATTTTTCAATGCATACTTAAGTTTCTAAAAGTTGTCAAACTAACATTAGTGGACAATATTAAAATTACCAGTACAAAAATAAAACGCCGTACTATCTGCTAGTAAGAAATACAGATTCTTACCGATTTCGCAAAACGTGCCGGTATAGCCTCCCACACAAGTACAGTCAAATCTATTGAACTCTATGGTATCATCACAAATTCCGCCATTTTGACACGGATTACTTTCGCATTCTTGTACATCTTCCTCGCAATGCACGCCCGTCCATCCATCGAGACATTCGCATCTAAAATTGTGTATATTTAAATATTGCGTAGTCAAAACGACAATACAAAAAGAGACATTTTCACCACAAACAAAGATTGATGAAGACGGGTTCATTCATTCTGAATAACAGACAAAATTTCCGAAGGGTAGTGATGCAATTCCCTACCAATAAATTCGATCGACAATTGTTCTATAGCTTACGCATTATAGAAATAATTATTGTGTTTTTGGAGAAAAGAATTTTCCCGTTAAAATGATAATTTTATCAATCGTTGGATATATGTTTCATTGTTGAATATATGATAGGGAAAATATACAATGCAAAAACAACAATACTACACAACACGTACTTGTAATTTCCTTCGTCATCCAAAGAAACACAATCTCCGTTTTCTGAACATGGTCCTTCTCTGCATCCATTAATTTTTTGCTCTATAAATTCAGAAAAAAAAAATTGTTTTGTTATGTTGTGCCATTGACGATTTATATCTCGCAAAAATATGTCAAATTGTTAACGATGATGACAGATGGTACAATTGAATATAAAATTAATTTAGCAAAGTATGAAACAATCGCGCATAAACAACATAAAATAAGCAGTAAATATCATTCAGAATGCGTTTGTGGTTACTCAACTCTTTTCGCAATGTCCCCCATAATATAGTCTTCCACATGTGCAATCATATTGGTTAACACCATCCTCGCAAGTCCCGCCATTCTGACATGGGTTACTTGCACATTCGTCTATGTCGTTTCTGCATGTTATTCCTGAATATAACAAAAATATTAATTGAGTGGTTCACAACATTATTATTTTTTCAAATGTTATTGACATTTTTGGTAATCGAGTGTTTATTATGGCGCTTTGTGGGTTTTTCTTCGAAATTGCATTATTGCGCGATTTTCGACTAGCTATGTCCTGTTTGCTGTGTGTAGCAGTTTATTCCTAGAACATGGGGTCTGGCAATTTTATTTCATAGCAATAAAGACTGAAAGAGTTCGTTCGGTTTTTAATAAAGTGTTCGAAATTTTGTGTCCTTATTGAACAAAAACTGATCCGACTAAGTTTATGAAATTTGAACAGACCACACTTTGAAAACTTCTACAGGCGCATCTTCAAGTTCTAAATGACAAGCATTAAGTTTTTTGTTGTTGTAGAAACTTGTGCTGAAGAATACTGTATCTTTCCAATATTAGTTTCCAAGGTTTTAAGAAAAAGTATCGTACAGAATCAAAAAATGAATCAAATTCGCATGTATAAATGTGTAGACCGCCAATTAATGACCAAAAAAAAAAAAAATACCAGCACAAACGAAGTCTGCGTTTTTAGTCTTATTATATCCAACATACCGGTGTATCCGACTACACACGTACAAAAGAATTCTTCATTGTCATCGCTTGCTCTGCACGTTCCGCCATTCTTGCAAGGATTACTAAGACAGGGATCGGGATTTCGAACTGTAAATATATAATTTTACACACAAATCCTTGTGTTAAAAATGACCAATAGTAAAATTTCTTTAAAGTAAATAACACTATATAATAGAAGTTCTCGACATAGCGCCAAATTGTAAATGAGGCTTGCGGCCAAAATACACTTTTATGATCTTCAACTATTTATTACATACAAAATCAAAAAAATACACTCAACCTTCAAAACATAACTTTTTTGTAAATCGATTGCGTATATCTGTTTTTGAGACCAAATTTTCTTGGCAACGACAACAGTGTTAAACAGTATAAACTAAGAACTATACCGCATAGTTTTTTCGTTTGGCAATTTTATGAAATAATACCAAGAATAGACAATATATGTTAACCTATTTCGCAGTTAGTTCCTTGCCATCCCGTCGCACAAAAACATTCATATCCCGGGTTGTCTGTTTGTTCACAAGTCGCACCATTTGCACATGGATCGCTAGCACATTCATCAATGTCAACATGGCAGTTATACCCTTGAAGTAATAAGATATACTGTAAGTTTTTAAGATTTATTGTGGTACTCGAAAAGTAGTTTATAGAGCTCGTGACGTCTGCGGAGAACCGGTTTTCGAATATGAATCGACTTGTAAGATGACTGGTATTGATAATTACATTATTTCATATAAATATTAGATCCACCTGTAAACCCAGGTTCACAATCACATTCATATCGAACTTTGTCTTCCATAACAACGCATTTTCCATTTTTACACGGTTCTTCTTTGCAAGGATCATGATCTCGTACACCTTGAATAAAATAGGCATTATTTTACTGTGTCACGTTACACTTGCGCTGTAGGTATTGTAGTTACAAATACCTTTAAACACTAACATGAAACCTCTGTATCCATATTTTTCGTCTGATACAAAAAGAATTGTTAATGTCGGTCCGACTCCGGTATATATTTCTTCTGGTTTTTTAAAGCTGAACAGAAGATATATTACAAAACAACGTAATTTACAAATGTATAACAGATAATTGCATCTCTTTGCCATTTTATAAGAAAAATTAAACTCGTCATTATGCATATATAATTTTCTGATAAATTAAAAAACACGAATTTGAGTAATATTGCATCAATTCATAATTATAGAAGAAAAAAAAAACAGTTAACAATTGAAATTTGTTTGCGCTACGAATTACTACTTTCACTGATGAAGTTTAAACAATACATACCCGCAATATTGTTGTGTTCCCGCTGATTCTGTTGTTATGTTTACGTAATCATAACAAATTGTTTCATTATTAGGTTTAATTCTGTGCTGAGTCACTAAATCCAAAAACTTTGCCTGGGAAAAGTTAAAAGTCGGATTAAATTCAAATTGTCAGTGGAAAATGCTTTTCATACGCTATATGTAACATGAGATTCCATATCTAAGCGTTAAAAATTGAAGCTCAATTGCGGCTTTTGCTTAGTCGCAAGTTGCTAGTTAGCGCAACTAGTAATTATAATTACTCAATTCTATGTCTCTTCATTACTCCGCAGTCCGCATTATAATCCAGTAAATTTATTAAATACCAAATCAAAGCCAAAACGCTACAATAATTTTTACGTTTCAATATTTAGACAAGTAATTGAATAAAATTTGATTTTTGATTTTTGGTACTGAAATCTTACATAGAATTTTATATATAGGAAGGGAATTTTAAAAGATGAGCTTTACCATTTAGTTAAGCTTTTGATTTAACTGTTAACATCTATAGAAAGATTAAAATTGAACGTTTTTGTAGAGCAGTGTTAACAAAAGAGTTGAAGTGAATAAAACCAGAACATGACTTAGCCTTGTTGTGTCTTTACTAAAAGTAAAGTTTGTACTCGAAGTGTTTTATTGTAAGTGGGATTTGCTTTTCTGTTTTAGCAACGATATTTCTCAATTCCTTCAAGTATTTGATTTGTCCCCAACTGGATATTTTCCAAGTCGCCTCATAATCATGAGAAGTAGGCTTTTAAAACCTCTCAATTAATATATCTTCAACGAGTTGGGATATATCCAATGTAAATAAAATTTCAATTGTGTTTTCATATAAGACAGCAATAATCGAATTTGACGAATAGAATATAACGAATGTAAGAATTAGGTATTTATTCGATTGAGGAGACGGCGCAAAATATTGTGAAATAACTTATCTAGAACACGATTTTATCGTAAAAGGTACGAGTAACCTACATAAATTAACTATTATTTATTTGTATCCTCAGTTTCCGTAGAAAACTTGGTGGAATTACTGAATTCATACACTGTTTCGTCTAAAAATACCCAATTTAGAATTGTATTTTTTTTACCGCATGAAAATGACCTACCGCGTAAAGGGTTTCTTTGTTGTTCAAATCCACTTTCCACACGCAGTTTAAATTGTTACCATATCTTGTCTTATCTTCGGCAGATTGTGGGTAATCTGGCGACTGAAAGTGGATTTTTTATTTAAAAATAGGTCACATATATCCTCTAACCTAACTTCGCACGTGTTACATTAAAATAAATATCACAAACAGCCGTGCAAAAATATCTTTAAATGTGTATCCACAACGAGGCAATAATCGAATTTGACTCCATAGATATGCATGACAGTGGGCCTACAAAATTGAAAAAGAACAATCCTTAAAACCTCAAATTTAATATATTGTAACAAGCCAGGGGTTCTCAACCTGGGGTTCGCGAACACCCGGGGGTTCACGGCAATATTTTCAGTGATACTTGAATGGCAGTTTAGTTTTCATGTGTTGCGTAAAATGCGTGCCAAATGAAATTCTTGCGTTGTTGTGACGCACCAATGTGAAATCGACAGCTTTACAGCCAAACTGTGAAATCGCAAAAGACAATGTGCTGCAAGCATTGCAGAAATGATATGCTAATGAATTCTTAAGAAAGATATTTTAAAAATTGTTGTTAATCAATGTATTACAACTTTGTTTGGTGTCTTATTACTAGGGGTTCGGGTTGATTGTTTCGTGAGTCGGAGGACTCAGGTTGAGAACCTCTGCTATAAGCAATTCGGGGAATAAAAATTTCTTATTCATCTCATTTAACATATACGAAAGCTTATAGTTTTATGTATATGAAAAAAACGAGTCAAAAATGTTGAATAGATCTTGAGTTCATAGTTCTGTAAGAAGACTTCATTAGGTACTGGATTTTTGGACCTCCTGAAGTATGCGCACCGAGATGGCGCACAACCTGAACATAGTATGTGTGTACCGGTTAGGATTTAGGTTGTGCGACATCCTGGTGCGCATACTTCTAGAGCACCGCATTGTTTTACAATATTTGCATTAAATATGTTTGATAAACCTAACTTTGTAAATTTCACTTTTAGTTAACCATATCCTACGTTTTTTTTCAAAAATACCTTGATAATTCCTGATTCCGTTGTTATATCTGCACCGCACTGATCGTAAGTCGTAATATCTTGCGCACCAGTGGTCACAACTAAAATAATTGATGGAAAAATTAAAGATAATTGAAATCTAACGCATAACCCACATGGTAGCAATTAAAAAAAAAAACACATCACTTTACACTCCTGACATGTATTGGGTAGCGATACTTCCTTAGCGGGGCAAAATATCAGTTTCAATATTTTTTAACCTTCTGACTGTAACCGTCAAAATTGCTGATAACGAAAATGTATACGCTATGATGTCCATTGGCATTCTCGAATTACAATAAAATTATTATACTTTACCCGATGCTATAAGTAATGAAATAACTTGGATGAAGAACATTCTATATGATATAATAAGTTTCTTCATTTATTTCACGTTCGATGATGATATACAGTCCCATCCAAAACACATTTTCATGTTTTTATACTGTATCCAATTAATTCCAAGTCTGTATTTGAGTAAATAAACCTCATCTAATTTTTCTTTAAATGCATGCATAAAATAAAAACATATACTATATAATATTCAGTCACGCAAAGTTATGCAAAATATCATTGCGACATTTCGTGATCTTCTATGTTCAAATTATAGCACAGCACAGCAGCCCTGATAATATAGCTAAAGCTTAATTGACGCCATGGTTTCGTTTTATAAAAAAGTTTATTTCGTATACATTTTAGCATCATCTCATTTTAAAAATTACTTCATGGTTTTGACAAAGAGGTGTCAGTCCCACCCATAGAGTTACAAGTAAACAACTCAATCTCTCGTTTTTGCAGATGATGCTTTTTTTGCCAAGTTGAACCATACATGAAGCTTCTACATTTACATCAACACTATGAATATATGACTACATATATACATACAACTTTGTGGAGTTAACTTTTCCTTAACTTTCGTCTTAGTTATTCCATACATTCATTTCATTGATCCAAAGCAACCCACTAAATCTGGTTAAATGATCAGTAATCTTAGTGCTAGTGCTTATTAATTCAGTATCATGTACCGCCTGTAGAAGGGGCCAATGGCAAATTTGCTCTGCGAAATTTTATTTATGCAGGACGAGTTCAATGGCTATCATTTGGTATTGTTAGACTAAGCTGCTTGGTATATAGTTTGGTAGTATATAGTTTTTCTATCAATTTCTTCATCTATCATAGATTCTTTTCCTAACTAGTTGCTTCTCACAGACGTTAAATTATTTATGCTTCTTTTTGGTCCTTTTGAAATGTTAGTGCTTGGAATCTTTCCTTACCTATTACTAATGTTTTCTTCGTTTTTATAATATAGGAGTGTATTTTCTTTATGGTGATAAAATAAAAACAGATTACTGTTTTCCGTCTAAATTAAACGGAGACTATTTCTTGTCACGTCCCCATGAATATTCCAATTATGTATTGCTGTATCTTGCGACACTAATTGTGAAACTGTTTTTGAAATTTTATTTTCATATTATATTCTTTTTGCTGTACGCTCATACGCTATACAGATTCTCAATAAAGCTTGCTTTTCAAAGGCTGGAATTCTTGTTCTAAACGACCCGAAGTTATATGGTAGGTATTTCATTTCGTTTTGGTTTCTTCAGTAATTGTAAATCCTTTTTCCTCAGTCTCAAAAATATATCTGGCAGAGAATTTAGGCCAAACAAAGTATGTTTCTCGCATATATTTTTTTACTATAGAACTTCAAATATTCATAATTATCGTGTGTGCTGGGATCTTTGTAGAGATGCCATCCCATCGTCTAGGACAGGGACGGGAAAACCTTTTGTGACTCGCATGCCAGAATCGGCTAAATTTAACGACAAAATTCTTCCGCGTGCCGACCAAAATTAAAAACAAATCATTGCTACTTTCAAAGCAAAAATACACAATAGTAAACCCTTTAAACATGTACAGACTTCATTATTCAGGAAAATATCAGTCCGACATATAGACTTGATTACTTTTCTTGTTCTATATCAGTGAGAATTCTGCTGCTGCATTACCGCTGGTGTCATCTTTCGGGATACTCTTGTTACTAGACTTGATAAAATTCATTACTGAAAACAGAAAATTACATGAAAACAGTAGATGAAAACATGGAGAATAATGCAGTTGCAAAGTTTTTAAGACACGATGAATTTTCGGGAAAGGCATCCCGATCACGCAATAGTTCGTTTTCTGCACTTCTCTCTTGTATTTCCTTTCCTAATCGCTTATATCAATTTCGAAATCAATTTATAACAGTAAGTTAGCAAGTAAGACGAGCTGTACAACTTCATAAATAAGGCAGAAATGAAGAAAAAATGTGACACAGACGAACTACATTACGTAAGAATGTAGCCAAATGAAGGCTGCACCCTTCTCGACAAAATTTCGCGAGAGCTCAAGGTTATCAAGATGAACTGATCTACTTATCATGCGTGTGAAATGATTTACATTCAAAAATAACTGGCAAAGGGGTTACTTCTTCTTTTTCTTTGAAAATGGTTTTTTTTTTGTTCATAAGCAGGGCTTCCATTTGCTTGAAACCAACTGTAAAGACTACGGTAAAATAAATTGACTCAAGTACAGGTAGTAAGTAGTCTACTCTTCAGAAGAGAATTGGGGTTGGTATTTGAGTTTTGCCCTATTTCACAGAACAAAATACTTGACAATTTGGGATATTCTTACAGTAAAATTTGTCTTTACTCGGTAATAAACATTCGTCAGGGTCGTGCAGTAATTTCAGATAATTTTTCAAATACTTATTGGAATACAAATCTCAACAGTATTTAGTGATATATAGCATAAATTTAGTAGCGAAAATGATCATACCTGTCAGTAAGTATACTTCGTGTAGCGTACAAAGCAATTTGCGTTTAAAAATGAAGTAAAAACGCCTCCGTAATGGATTTAAAAACTAGTAACCACCCGAAAAATCGCATTTTTGCCAAGCAATAAATTTAGCGACACATTACACATTTGGCTAAAAATTAATTCTTAAGATATCGTCATACACCAGCTTCTGCTATCTGAAATTTACCACTGCGAACGGCTTCAGCATTGCTAGCTATCTCATCATTCGATATCTGAAGATGGCCTAGTCAAATACTTGCTATACTTCGAAGAGCTCTTAGTACATCAGCCGTCCCAACAGACGTCACTTCAGAGGAAAGTTGCAGACAAAGAAAGAATTATTTTGTGTCTTAAAATTTTTTTTAAGTGTTATGGGATGCTTCATTACCAGCACCATAGAGGTCAAGAAACGTTTAAAACGACTCTTCCCATTGTTTAAATTTCGGGACAAATGACAATAGTATTGGCAGACGACTGGTTCTCATGAGGCTCGTTGTCTTGATGAAAATCAATACCAGCTGACAATTAAAATAACTTGACTTCAGAATTTGATTTAAATAAAAAGTATAAACGCCCTCGTTCGCACTCGATATAAAACATCCAAATTTCGAGTAATATGAAATTGTACCGTCATAATTCAGATTATTAAAATCGTGAAGGGATTAGCGTGTTGTCCGGTTTCTGTAAAACGTAAACAGCAAACGATTTGCATATAGGTTTTTGAATACCTGGTTTCAAGCAAATATGATAGTTCATATAAATTAATTTGGGTCTTCCTGAAGTATGAGCACCAAGATGGCGCACAACCTGAACTCAGGTTGTGTATCAGGTTAGGGTTCAGGTTATGCGACATTTTGGTGCGCATACTTCAGGAGTACCATAATTTGATTTCAGTACACGCCGACAGGCATTTCAAATATCAATTTTCATTTGAGTTACCTTAAATACAACAAAGCATAAATCTTGCGAAAAAGATTGCGAGGAAAATGTTATAGAAAAATACTTTTATTTTTATATATGAATAAATGCCCTTCTGAAATTTCTTCCGTAAAAGTCACACGACATTTGATTATTTAGCTATGTTAGAGTTCATGCTCGTCCTTATTCACAAGTCTTGTCTAATATAACTAATATAATATATCTATAATATTTTCATATAAAATAGCGCGTTTATCAACTTCGATAATATTGACTCCAATATTTTGTACAATTGATCAACATTTCTTGGCGTGAAAGACTAAAATTGTCTAATTCAAGTATCTATAGTATCTAATTAGTTTATGAATACCGGCACTTATATCATTATCGAGTGATTCATTAGGTGACGTATAAAAATCACCACGCATTGTTCTTAAACCGAAGGAAAATCAAGAACACTTGTGACGTGGTGATTCATTAAAATCGCATTGATACAATTTCCCACGCTAATACAACATGAATAGAAAAAAACTTAATAATTTTAAATTTGCATTGTTCCATATGATAAAGTACTGCAACAAAAAACTTCCCAAACAAAATCGATTTGCTGATTTTTATTCTATGAAAGTGCGTAAAAAACGATTTGAAGGTTGAATACCATTCTCTTATAGTTATATACGGTAGAAAGTTGTTAACTGTTGATAAATTTTATACCTTAATATTTTTTTTCTGAAATTGGAATTTCAGTTTGCTCTACACATTGCTGCTATTTTAATTGCCTTATTTATCTGACAAGCTAAGAACAAATATTTGCATTTTCACAAAAATCATAATTGAAAGACAGTAATGACAGTCACAGATATACGACAAAACTAAATGAATAAGTTCAAAGAACATTTGCCGAAAGACTTCGTGTAAATCATTTTTGTAAATACCACTCATCTAAATACACAAAGTATTATGTATATCCTTTACTGCAATCTATGTACTGGCTCATCTGCGCGAAATAAAATAGTAAGCCATTTTGTAGTAAACATTGTGGGATTACTCACCCTTACTCAGGGCGCGGAACCAAGCTAGCCCCTTCAACATGTTAGATAAGTTTGAAGTGCTGTCATCACAAGGATTAGTCAAATACTCGACAAAAGCAACCGAATAAGAATGTGGTTGTCTCTACTTTCACTAGATGCGAAATTTTGTAATGGAATACACGTCGCAAATACCGATCCACTCAAGTCTAGAATCTGGACAGTAAATTAAAAAGAAATACTCTCGAAAAAAAGTGGACCATGTAACAAACGAGTAGTGAGTTGCGCGTTATGGCCGCACATACATATTTTTCTCGATACGTAGGAATATACTGAAAACAATTAGATAATAAAATTATAAAATAAAACAAAGTATGATAATATGTGAAATCGAGGAATGAAAAGCAACCATCTGTGTTGACTACGTCTCTATATGACAGTGGGTTTCAATCTTTATAGGGTGGAACCCCAGACTTGTATTGGATTATATCTAGACAATAGATATTAATAGAGATTCTCCGATACTCTGAAAGAAAACTCATGTAACCCCTTGACTGCGTACAGTCCCGGATGTAAATCACTGCTCAATACAATATAACTAAAAATAAGATAACAAAAACTTTCTTGGAGATAAGTCACGTAAAATGTGAATATACATAGAATATTGGAATAAAATGTTTCAACTGATGCACTTGCTAAACGATTCGGTGT